GAGAGAAAAATGAGTATTGCTAGATACTATTATAAAAAAAGATCAAGAATCAGAGTAGAACAAAATACATCTCTACTACAAGAAGTAAAAGACTAAGTATATTCTTTAAATGCATACAAGAAAAAATGCCTATATTTAAGGAATTAGTAATAAGATGACCAGACCTGTATGCAGATATAAATTGTATAGTTTGCAAAGAAGAAAAAAAGAAGACTAGAACTATTTAGCAACATGCTTCTTTTATAAAAACTATTGGATGAAGGTAGAAACATTGGCAATAGCAATAGCATAAAGCATATTTTCAGAAGAAAAAAAAAGCATCACTCAAATACAACTAAAAGAAGCAATCTAAAGCTAAATAGAAGAAGAAAGTGTGAAAATAAGAAAAAAGCTTATTAAAAATCTTCTACAAGAAAAGTTAATAAAGAGAGTACAAAATATTTTAATCTTAGTACAAGAAACAAGAAATATTCTAATGAGTATAGTAAATATCATATGGAATGAGTTTTACAAAAAAATTTGAAAAAAAGATGCAATAAAGTATCTGAATAAGAGAAAAGTCAAGAAATCAGTACAAGAAAAAAAGAAACAAAAATAAAATAGTAGAACAATAAAGCAAAGTATTACACAAAGTTTTATCAAGATCAAGAAACAAAAACTTAGAAAAAATAAAAGATATAAAAAAAAAAAAATACAGAAAATAAAAATATAGAAGATATATAGAGGAATATAGTTAGAAAATTAATTAGTAATAACAAAAGGTCTTACTAGAATGACTTTAAAAACTAGCTTGAATAGCCTTCTAGTAGTGAGTATAAACTCATTCTAGTATTGCAGGTCACCTCTGAGCATTAACACAGTAGCTGAAGGATGTCAAACCTAAAAATTAAGTTAATATTTGTATAATTATATATACAATTCTCTTAATAAAAGATTTTAGCAAAACTGCCAAAAAGTTAAAAAAAATATATATATATATAAAAAAGTATATATTTATTTTTTATAAAACATTAATCTTCTATTTATTTTTTTTTATATTTTTTTAAAGAATTTTCAATTTTTAAAATGTTTTACTTAGTTTAAATTACAAATAAACTAGTTTAAGCTTTTATTTTTATATATAATTTTTATTTTGTTATATATAATTTTAATTTATTTTAGTACTTTTATACTAAAGTATATAGTTAAAATTATTAATAAAGATATAAGCAAAATTTTATCTTAATATTAAAATAAAATGTTTTATTCAAAACAAATTATTTTTTATTAAGATTTATAATATTTTCTATTTTAAAAAATTAAAAATTAGTTTTAATTATTATATTTCTATAATATTATAATAGATATAAACAACAATATTCTATTTTAAAAAATTTAAATTTTATATAATAAATTAAAATAGATTTTTATTTTAATTAATGATCTGCCAGTCATCTAGACAAAGACTATAATATAATATGATACAGATCACTATGTAATTTACTATAAAATAAAATGCAATATGCACCTATCTAAAACTTTTTTGATAATAAGTTAACAGTCTAAGTTAATTAATTGAAACTTGTAGAGCTTACTGAGATGCATTTAATAATAATTAGAACATCCAAATCAGTTTAGTAGATGCTGAGATATTATTAAAAAACATTTAGCTGACTATGTAAAATTCTATATAAAATTCTATATAAACAATAGTCTGTTTGCATAGAATTTTATATAGTTGACTAAACATTTTTGATAATATCTCAACATTTATTAGACTGATTTGGATGATCAAACCACTATTAGATGCATCTTAATGAGCTCTACAACTTTTAATTAATCAACTTGGTCTGTTAACTTAGTATTAAAAAGTTTTAAATAGAGTATGTTGCATTTCACTTTATAGTAAATTACATAGTAATCTGTATCACATTACACTATGATCTTTGTTCAGATGACTAGCAGATCATTAATTAAATAAACATTACATAAATGTGATACTCTTATATATTATTTCTTAATATAATTGGTCAAATTTTAGCAATTAAAATTTTAAAATCAAAAAAAAAAATAAACCAAATAACTCTTAACTAATTTTATTTTTATTTTTTTTTAATGTTAAGATGAGTATTTGTGATCTAAAATTTTATTAATAGTATGTTTTGACTAGCAACTATTATATAATAATTATAAAAACAATTATAAAAAAATATATATAACTAGCTACTTATATAACTTTAGTTATTGTCTAATTTAAGTAGTTTGTCTGAAGATTCTATACTAATTGTCATATCTAAAACCTGATTGTAATCCTTTATTTAAATACATTAAATCTTATATTTACTCTATTCTACCAATGATTATAATAAACTAATAAAGATATATCATAATTACTAGTTATATTTAACTTTGTACTAAACCTATTAAGTCTTTTGTATTTTATATTTATAGCTAATCTGGTACTGCTTTTGGTCTAAATTAGTACTTATAACAGAGCTAATCATTAAATTACTATATTCTTATAAGATTTATTCAAACTTTAGTATTCATTTTTCTAATATTTTCTTTATTTTCATTTACTAATTACAACTTAAAATTGATAGAACTCTTTAAACTTCCAATTTAGATAACTTTGTATAATATATCTTAGTATTTTTTTCTTTGATTATGTTGGCAACCTGGTTAGTTATATGCTTTTTTATATATTTTTGTTATCTAACTTATCTACCTGTTTCTATAAAACTGTTTTGTAAACTTTAACTAATCTGATTATATTATCAAAAGTCCATAATACTTATTTATTTAAAAATTTTCAAGTAGGTTTCTGGCTCTTTGATTTCTTAGTTTTTATACCTAGTAGTCTTATTATAAGTTTGCATCAAAGTTTTATATAATACTAGTTAGAATATTACTCTATATATATGTAATATTATATTTTGCATAAATGTCTGAGTTTTCATATTGGGTAGAACCCAGTGTTTAATATTTAATGTTCTTAATGTTCTTAAGAACCTTTAAAAAATTTTAAGAATATTGCATCTAAAAATTATATTCTTTTTTGAAAACAATCTGAGAATATAAAATTTTTAATATTCTTATAATATACATATTAAAATATAATAATAATAATTATTATTATTATTATTTTGTTTTTTTTTTTAGCAAGAACATTAAAAAAGTTTTAAATATATAAAATTATTAGTTAATGTTCTTAAAATATAAAAGATATTTTTCACTAATAGGACCTGACTTGATATATTAAAATTACAGCTATATAAGGCCAACAAATTGACAGAAGACATTTACTATAACACAAATTAATTTTTAAATTTCATTATAAGTGTAATTTAAATATTAGATTTGCTATTAGAAGAATAACAACCTAACTACTATACTAGAATTGTTATTCTCTTTTATAATTATTAAATCAAGCTTTACACTATATAATGAATATAATTTATAAATTTTACAAATAATATCTTTTTCTTTATTATTAGACTTTTTAAATTAATAATTAAAATAAGTATATATTATTATCATATATAGTTATACAACATGTACTTATTTCTAATTTAAAAGCTTTGGCAGGATTACTAATAACTAAAAAATATTTTATTTATTATTAAATTTCTGATCTAAAAGCTTTGACAGGATTACTGATAACTAAAAAATATATTTTATACTAAAACATAGACTATAATATGCTTTTAATTCTTAGATAATTTATATTAATATAACAATATATCTTTAAATATATAATAATTTAACAAACTCTATAAGAAAATCTTATTTTATGTATATGATTTTAAATTTTTAAAAAGACTAAAATTCTTTTTATTAACTTTATACAAAAAATTTAAAATTTTTTTCTTTATTAACAAAAAATTTTTTTTAATGTAACCAAATTTTTTAACTTTAAAAATTATTTTTGTTTTAAAAAATATTAATTACAAAAAAGCAGAATTACTAAAAAACAATAAATAACAATATTTTTATTATACTATTCTTTATAAATAAGTTTTACCTATTTCTAAATAGTAATATAAAAAAAAAAATAAAAAAAGGCTTATAAATATTTTTACAGATCTGAATCTGATTCAAAAACTAAATTAATTTATGTTCAAATTTAGATTTAATCCAAATCTGTTTCAAAAAAAAATTGCTTAATTGCAAGTCTCCTATTTACAGTTCTGAACATTTTTAAAATTTTTAACTAATTAGAATAAATGTCTGTACTATATAGACCAGACTAGCTATTAATTCATATATGCATCATAAGAGAAATTTATCTGATTAGCTAATTTATGTAAATTATTTGTAAAATCTAATTAATTAATTCTGTAAATTATAAAATTATTATGAAATTAATAATAATAAAAGATTATAACAATTATATAAATATTACAAAATAATTGATCAAATTCTTTAATCATTATTTAAATTAAACAATAATCTTGTAAAACATAAAAAACAATAATAATAAATTCAAATTTTCTAATCAATTTTTGTATAAAGATTAAATTATATTCTATCAAGATATCAATTTTTATTTTTTATAATTATAATAAAAGAAATCTTATGTATATATATGAGTTTTAAATTGGTTACTAATCTATTTGTAAATTGAAACTCAATAAAACATATAGGCTTTAAATAACCTTTATTTACAGTGCAACAGTGGCAATTATTAATCAATAATAACCAGATAACCAATATTAATATAATGAAAAAAAGTTAGGATATACAGTTTAAATAATTGCTAAATACTTAAATATTAGCAAATCTTCAATAAGTCAAGTTCTTAAACAATTTTAGAGATACGAATATTATGAAAGACTTTACTATTTGTAAAAAAACTAGTCTACTAAACCTGAATAATATATATAAAATATTTTAAGACTTTAATTGAAGAGAAGCTTGACTGGTATTTTTATAAGTTACAATCTGAGATAGAACTTTGAAAACAGAGATTTTTAACTTTAATATAAGTATGCAAAAAAGCTTAACATAATTTTATTCAAATGTATAAAATGTATGCAAATTAAATTATATAAACTAATTATATTATTACCAATATATAAATAAAAAGTTATATGTAAAAAAGTGTAATAGAAAAAGGAAAAAAAGTAATATAAAAAAATTTAAAGTTTATATGCATATATATAATTAATAGTCAAACTTATCATACATCTAAGTATAAAAAAGAGTCATACTTATAAGTATAATAGTTAAAGAAAAATTATACTTATAAGTATAATAGTATTATTATTTTTTTTATCTATAAAGAGAACACTGTATAGATGTAAATTATTAGTATAATAGTATTTTAAATGATTAATTATAAGCATGATATATATGTAATAATTGCATATCAAAAGTTTTAATATTAAAAAAATTATTAAAATATTTATACAATATAATAATACTAAAATACTTAATAACAAAGTTAGTTTTATAATTAATATAATTTAATTTCTGATTGTTTATATATAAGATAATGATGATTTTTAAATACAAACAAATTTATTTATCTTTCATCTTTTTTATTTAACAATAATTTAGCTTATAAGAAAATTAGTTTGAAATAATCTTAATTTTCAAATTTCTAATAACTTGATATTTAAAGTATCAATGAAACTAATAACTTTGATATTCAAAATATTGATGGATCCAATAATGATATTCAAATTATTGAAGCTGATAACCTTGATATTCAAATAATTGACAAAATTGAAACTATTTATGAAAAGAATTTAGAATCCTTTGAAAAAAATAGTATAAATATACTATATATTTTTATTAATAAACTTATATTAAATCATTAAACTAATATTTTATAAAGATTTTAAAATTAGATAATGAATTTTCTGACATTGAGAATAATTTAATCAAATTGAATGAAAATTCAATAACTTATTTTACAAAAGAAATTGACATTACATATTATTTATCATACTTTAATACCTATCGAATATTCTATGACAAGTTTTGAAGATGTTGCTTATATATATAATGTTGAAAGTTGAAAAAAACTATTAGTTGCATTCAAAGATGTAAGTAATAAAATTTTAAAATTAAAATATTATTGATATTAATAAACTTACTTTACTATTTTTAGATTTAATATTCAATTAACAAACCTGATAGTGAATATAAAACTAAGTGTAGCTATCTTGGTGTTAAAGTAAAACATGAAATGCAGACCTGTCAAAGTTCAAAATTATGTAAATTTGTTGTAGATACAATTCAAAATAAAACTCATCAAAATGTAGATACTGAATCAGATCTTATAATATAAATTACACAAAAATTTTCATCAAATAGTATTAATAATAATACTTTTAAGTAAGTAAAATAAAATTTAAAATAATAAATTAAATAATAAAAATTAATTTATATTTATTATACTAGATTTTATCTTGCTGCTCAAAAAATATTGTAAATTTTAGCAAAATAGTAAACAATATGAAGGTAAATCTATTTTGCATCATTTTGCTTATAGAGATTACTCTAAACTTACATATTTTATTGAATATACTAATTGGAAAATTACAGAAAAATATTATCAATTTATATCTATTTCTTCTGATATTGATATAAAACTTTTGCATAGCTTGTTTGATGGTACTTATGAGATAACTAAATTAATATTAATTATTATATTTTAAATTAAAATAAATTAATTTTTTTATTTAATTATTTTAGTCTAATAAATATAATAATAGTTAAATTACAAATTCATGCTATATTGTATTATCTAATTTATCAAAAAAAATAGTGTGGTATTAAAAATATAAATTTAATAAATTAAATTATAAAATTTTAAAAATTATAACTTAGTAATAAATATTTAATATTATTTAGCTTATCTACATCAATCAGCAAATAAGCTATGTTATGATTATATTAAAAAAAATCTTGCAATGTTGAGTTCTATAAAATTACTTCATTGGATCTCAAAACATGTCCATTTTTAATTCTTGTATATAAAGGTATATATATACATCTACTACTACCTCTTACATGTACATCTAATTCTATTAAAAAAAGACTTTAAACTCTTATTCAGCAAGAAATAAGGATTTATTAAATGTTACTCCAACTCGTATTTTAATGGGTAATGATTAAATTTTTTTTATAAATTTAAATAATAAATAATTTATTTAATTTAGATAATTTAATTAAAATTTACTTTGAAGTTAATAGTCTATCTAAAATTCATATATCTTTTAATAATATAAATAAATTACACTATTGTGTAAATAAAATTCAAAAAGAAAAGCATCTACTTGGACAAGATTTATTAGGAGTTATATATAATTTTTTATGCAATATTAATAATTTTCAAAAATATGTTCAATGATTAAATATATATTAAATTTTTATTGAAATTTATTTTATTATAATTTATACTAGTACTAATACTAATAAATATATATTTAAGATATTTTAACAATAGTCATATAATGATTATTTGTACTACTAAAATTCAAGTACAAAAATAAATTAAATGCACTTATTTTAAAATTGATCTAGTCTTTAAAAGGATTACTAATGATATTAATGAATTTAAAATAAATTATTATGATAAACATTATAATATAAGTAATTATTTAAATAAATAAAAAATTTTAGTATATATATTTTAAATATTAATTTATAAATTATATTTTATTAATATTTAGTTTTAACTTTTACATAAATCTTTACAAATTAAACAACTATGATTGCATATTAATAAATATTTAATAATCTTTTTGCTCTTATTAAACAATTTATTGGTAAGTTACCAAAGTTTAAGCATATTTATAAAGAAGGATGGAGTTGCATTGTTGATAATTTAAATATAATGCAAGTTATTGGATTAGATGAAACTTTAGTATCAATTAATAATTCATATAATTTGGAAGATTATTTGATACATATTTTTAAATTTTGTTAAGTTTATTACAAAAGATAAAAATTAATGATTATTAATAATTGTTAATAATTTAATTTATTTAATTTATTTTTTATTAATTACTATAGAAAATTATATGAAAAGTGATTTGAAAATGAAATTAAAAATGTTATAGAATCATTATTAATAGCAATAGCTAATAAAGTTAAATTAATTTTTAATAAATTATTATTAAACAAGAATCTTACAGGCAGTAAATTCTATATATTTATCATTATAATAAAAATTTTTAGTAAAAAAATTTAATTAAAAATAATTTATTAAATAGACTGGGTTTAATATTATCAAAAACTATATGTTATTGTATCTCTTAATCCATTTATATTAAAAATTCTTGTGAATTGTTGGTATGCAGCATCTAATAATACAAATAGTGCTGAGTTAGCATATATTATAAGCAATTGTGAAGGAAAGCAACTAAAATTAATGACAGCTATATTGAGATTTTATTTCTATGACAATTTATTTTATTTTTATATATGATATAAGTTTTAATTTTTTATTTTTCAGAGATCAAAAATTAAATATGTGCAATTTTAAAAGAATCAAAGTAAAAAAGAATTTTAATATTAGTTTAAATAGTCATAATAAAAGTGATATTGTATGAAGAAAATTAGCTATTAAATGAAGTAGTTAGTATATTTTTATTTAAAATATTTATTATAATAACATATATTTATATATATTTTAATATTTTAATAGTAAAACAACAATCCAAGAAAGTTTTTTTAACAAAAAGCATCAACAATCATATCTATAACAAGTAATAAAAAACCATGCAAGTTATTAGAAGTTGAAGAAATTGATTTAATTAATGTTAATATTTGTATAAACAAAGAATCTCTAATGACAGTACTAAAAAAGTTGAAATATGATGAACATAAGCTAATACTTGAAGAGCAAAAAGAGAAATTAAGAGAGTTGTAAATAGCTAATGCTATTAAAGAATGAGAATATGATCTTGTAGAATAATTATTATATTTAAAATTTGTTTTTTATATTTGTCTTTTTTATATTTGCTGTTTTATATTTTGCATAATTATTGAACATAGCTACAATAAATAAAATGTTGTTATAAAAAAAAACCCCCAAGTTAACACTAATTATAAATTACTATAAGACTTTAAATTTTATAATTATATTAATAAAATAGATATATATTAACATAAAATAAATTTGGCTTGCCTTACTATTTATTTTAAAATTTTGGTATGATGAATCATTCTATGTGACAAATAAGAATTCAATAGTATTATTAATAGTAAATCCTTATTTGTCACATAGAATGATATATTACTTCTATATCACAAATTGCAAATTAATTTTTCAACATCCATTCTACAAAATATATGTATATATTCTGGTATACAAATAAGCATAACTAATTTATATTTTATTATATGCATATACATAATAGATGTTTTTTTATTTTTGTTACAATATGCTACTTCTTTCATAGTTCAGACTATACTACTTTCTGCATCACCTTTAAATAAAAAAATCCCAAAATTATCTTTCACTATTATTGGCTACAACTATGCCTAAAACATTGTTATCATTTGGAAGATCACTAGAAGCTACTAGAAGTAAATCAATAATATCACTGAAACTTTAAGTTTTCAGTAATACTAATAATTTATTTAAAGTGACCTTCTAGTAATCTTCTAAGTGAAAACACTACTAGAAGTACCCAATTAACTGTAAATTTTTTGAAGATACTGTATGTACATAGTTTTAGACTATCTTCATAAATAATAAACAATACATTGATATTGCTGAATCTGCTAAATAATCATTTAGATAATTTTCATAAAATGTTCTAGGAATAATGATAACAACTGTAAATACTAATTTACCCTATACATGTGTGCCTAAATTCATGTTGATTTATGGCATTACAACATTTTTTATATTTTTAACAGCCTCTTCAAAATGCCTAAATGCTAAAAATAATCATGACTGCTGAATTATTTTTACAGATGTAATTATTTCAGTTGCTGAAAAAATAAACTCATAATTTATTGCAGCTACAGGTCTAACCCTCATTACAGCACATTTATTAACTACTCCAAATTTGAAAAAAATTTGACTACTTGTAGTAAGTCAAATCAATTTGACTTTATGTATATATATCAATATAAGCTAGATTTATTATGATAATTGTGAAATATGTTCTGATTTAAATTATGATATTCTACTATATTAACTTAATTTTTTAATTTCACAAATATACCATAATGTTTGTGTACAACCCTCTAGCTAGTGCTTGACACAATCAAACAAAAACTTGACATTCAAATTTTTATAATTAGTTAGACATTAAATGCTCATAGATCAAACAAGTTATATGTACTTACAAATTAATTTGCATATATACAGTATGTTGTAAGTGAAAACAGAATTTAAGTGAATTTGAAATTTCCTAGTTAAATTAGGATTAGGGTATGGGTGTTTATATGATAAAATCAACCCTGAAATACTAGTTTTCTGAATCCACTTAAATTCCGGTTCCACTTGCAACTTATGCAACCAACTTGATTTATTATCGTTTAATGTTTGATTAATCAAATATTCAATAACCAAATTTTTGTATAATTGTGCCATTGTTCCACCCTGTAATTTTGACCAATCGAATTTCAAATCTACTTTTTTACAAAAAATAAAAAATAAAAAAATAAAGTAGTTTCTTGTGAAATTTTACTAATAGAACTGAATTGATCTAACTTTAACATAATGCAGTTTTGCTGGCTTAATTTTACACGCAACTTTTTACTTCACGTTACACCTGATCTTAAATCTTGATTGGTCAAAACTTACAAGGCCATTTTTTGTGGGATCGCTATCTAAAATCCTTTCATAGACCAACTATATAAATGTTCGGAGCTTCGATCTCTACATAAGATGATACAAAGCTATGTTTTTGATGCAATTCTTTCATAAAAACGTATTTGTTTTTGATCCATTTGCATATGAATCTTATCAAAACAGCAATTTAGAAAACTTGTCTGTCCGCAAGCCGCACGCGTGTATGATGGATACATATCATTTTATCGACAATCGTTTCGCCGAACACCCCAACACACAGATCGATGATTAATATTTAACGATTGTTTGGTGATTAATAATTATTGTTCAAGATTACTCTTTACGCTGTGTGATGGAATGATCATCGATGAAATGATACGTATCCAATATTTTAGGCACAAATGTATAATAATAGCATCAGAAAATATTTTCGGCAGTCGAAATTATTTTAGGCAGTACGGTTTAGGCAGCCTAAAATAGTTTCATTTACGGCAAGCCAAAAATAATTTAGGCACTTCTGTATAATTTTACTGACAGTCAATTCCACCGACAGTCATTTCACTGACAGTCAATTCACTGACAAGTTTATCCACCGACAGTCATTTCACTGACAGTCAATTCACCGACAAGTTTATCCACCGACAGTCATTTCACTGACAAATTTATTCCATCGATAAAGTAATTTTGGTCGTTTTCTTTAGAGTCGTATTAGAATTAGAGTTAAAGTCAGTGCAATTTTTTTTAAAAAAACTTCTCAGTGAAGTGACACGGATTCATAAGATCTAACAAATACAATTTGAGTATCTATCACATGGTTTAATGACACGCAGGGTGGCATTTTTGCACAAACTTAAGCTGATGGCGTGGCATATAATACACAAGATTTTTTAGATGTGCCACACACCCTATATAACAGGCAATATTATTGATAACTGATAATATAATTTTTTTTTACTTGAGATTTTAAATTTGGTTTTTTTTTTAATGAAAGAGACCCAACATCTGAGATAAATTATAATAGAAGTAATATAAACGAATTTAATTAGTCTTCAATTTTTTATATAAATATCAGCCTCGGCCCTCTTCTCAAACTCAGCTAGAAAATTTTTTTGCGTTTTGTTATAACATTAGGCCGTCTGAAATTACAATTCGGTTAGCATTCTTCCCCAAAGAGCTCACCTGAAATTACACGCCAATCAGAACGTCCATTGCTTCTTGAGATTTCTATAAGTCACAAAATTATGATGTTCGTCCAAAAATCTTGATTGAACATAGTAATCTAATAATTTTATGACTAGCTACAACAAATTTATTTATGATCCGTGCCACAAATATGCTTATGTTGTCGACACGTCAATTTTCTTATATTCAGTTGTCAAGATATTGATTTTTTTAGTGATCCTGGCCGATAATTAAAATACACGATCACTAATTAAGATCACGGGGTATTTAGTAAAAATACCCCGATCACTAGTTAAGATCACAGGGTATTTGGTAAAAATGCCCTGATCAGTATGTGCACAAGTAGAAACTTCGTTTCCGCTAATACCCAACGATTCAGGATATTTTTATTTCAAATCAGTTAATCGATTGTTTACTTGTAAAACGTCACAATTATTTGATTTTTAATATTATCGTTATTACCATTGTTATTTTCAATTTATATCAATTATTAATTGACATGTGCGTCCATTATTTTTTTTTGTTTTAAGGAATGTTTTGGGCGGGGACTCATTAAGATTATAGGCTTGATCGTCTTGAATATTACAAGTTTGTATAACGACTTATATAATCATAATGGGCAATTTTATCTGTTAAAGATTTAAGGTTTTTATTGGCATGTTTCACATGGTCGTAAAAATCGACCAAGTCTCTATGAACTTTTTTAGGACGCCGATGACGTACGAACAACAAATTTTATACATCACACTACACAGAATCCGGAACCACGAAGAAATCACTCAATTGTTAGGTGATTTTGGCTTCTTAAAAGTATTCCGATATCTGGATGTGAAATTTCTACATTGAAGTAATTTTAAGAAATTAGAAATCATCTAACAATATTAATTGTATCCATTATATAATTAATTGTATCCATTATATAATCACATTTAAATTTCCTACGTAAATTATTCTGATAATTATAGTTTATTCATTTAGTAGCTGGAAATTTGACAATCACTGGGGTGTTCGATAATCTAAGTAATGGTAAATCAAAATATAGCATTAATTGATTTTAGTTTTTTGCAAATACGTAAAATTCAAAATAAGCACTACACACTTATAGAAAGACTTTTATATTATTCATATAGTTTAAGGTACTTTTTTTAAAAAAACAAAACTACAAATACTCCACTATTGACAACGATCAAAATCTCATTTTATTTTAGGAAAGTTAGCATGATAATAACTAGCTCCATCAGCTATCGATTTTTAAGAAGTCTTTATTATGCTAACTTCACTAAACCAAAATACTTTATATATATATATTTTTTATTTATTTATTCTTTTATAGTTTTGCGTTTTTTTAAAAAGGGAATTGCTATTTATAAACCTCATAAATCGCAACGTTTCCTAGATAGAGGTTAGGTCGTGTTACGTTACACAAGTGATCTTCATGTTACACTTAATTAACTTAATTCAGAATTACTGAATTACGAAACTTCTTTTAAAAAAGTACTTTAAACTGTATAAAATTAATTAAACTTAAGCAGCCAATAATATTCAATCCCAGATTGACGGAAATAACCTAGGTAAAGATTTTATTTGTTACTTAGTAGAGAAACTAATATTATTTTATATTGGCAATTATCATTATAAATACAATATTACATATTATCGTTGCATGACCAAATAACTTATATATAATTATTAAAATTAAAATAATTAAAGTTTAGGTTTTTAAATTGGAACAAAGTTAGATTTTATCTAATATATAAATTTTAATTAATCATTTTGCCAGATTTCGAATCTTCTCTTAACAACTATAATGCACACAAAAAAGAAAGATTTCCAAAAAAAAAACAATAAATGAAAAGTAATATTATTTAGATTAGATGAGCGATGAACAATACTAGATTAGATTGGATTAGATTGGATGGATGTTAAAAAAAAGATGTTATATACTTGGTAATACAGTAACTTTATATCAAGTTCTGAGTGGTCATTCTAATTATCACATGATTATCTAGTGCACATAAGTAGTACATACGTACGTACGTACATTTTTGAGAAATGAGCATTTTCAAATAAAATTCTCTTATCTGCATATTTTTGTTCTTGCACGAGGATTTCTTGTGAACCGTATGTGAATTAATTAAATACTTTTGGTATCTTAAGATTTGTCATTGTGAAAGGTAAACTGCATATATATATGTGTACAAACTATCGAATATTAAAAACACAATGGAAAAGAATTTGTGAAATGTATGATATATAAAATAACGCCATAAAAATAATACGCGTGACAGTATCACAATATTTGTGTGACTGGTCAGATAGAAAATTCGCGGATTTTGTTTTCCTATCTTGCCTTTAAAAAAAGAATATCATAACTAGAATCAATTTCCTTTAATTTTTCGCTAATATTTCTGCTAAAAAAAAAAAAAAAAAAAAAGAATATGGGATGCACTACTTCTAAAAACACAAGTACTAGAGAAGTGCGAATCGTCATTTCACGTCCTGAAAGTGTTAATCCAATTGCGACAGTAATTAATGACGAAAAATACCCGCTTCCAAAAAAGAACTATGGAGGGGATAGATTGGCTTTACAACATAACATATTTAAATATATATGGCAAAGTAACTTTTCGGCTCCTGTTAACGAAAAATTAGAAACTGGTGCAAAGGTCTTGGACTTTGGGTAATTTAAATTAACTTGAATTTTAAAAATTTGTATTTAAATTTTGTTAAAATTTTTTATAACCTTTTTTAATAATTTTAAAAATTTAAAGTTGTGGAACTGCTACTTGGCTCATAGATTTATCATCACAATATCCAAAATCTTCATTTTTTGGTGTTGAAAAACCCTCTTCAGTACTTCGTGATCTCACTCCATCAACACCACAAAATGTTTCAATTCAATACTGCGACCTTTTATCCAAACTACCATTCGAGGATGAAACATTTGATTTTATATATATACGGTTTATGGCTTCTGTAATACCTGATAATAATTTTAAAGAAGTAATAAATGAGTTGGTAAGAGTCTTAAAAACTGATGGATACATGGAAATTATGGATGTTGATGCTCAAGGTGGTAACGAAGGAATGTTAACACAAGAATTTATGTCTTCAGGTAATTTCAATACCTACCCTTTATAATTTGGGACTATACGTTTATTTAGTGCATAACTAGCATATTTACTCGATAAAATATGCTTTTTAATAAGCAAATTAAATACATAATTCAAAATTTGCTTATTATAAACATCTTTCAAATTATACGCTTTCTAATTTATAAATCGAATTGTGAATTCAAGTAGAAGTTGCTAAGCTATATATTTGAGATTATGTCTATATATAATGCATTGAAATCTTAATTAATACCTAAATTTTGTTCACCTCGATCAATATAGTTCGATCATATTATAAATCAGTAGGAATAAATCCTACCATAACTGCAACTTTAGAACCTCTATTCCGTTCCAAATCTCATCTAGCCTCCATAACTACTGAAAGGCAATGTTACCCAATTGGTAATTGGGATAACCCTATTGGTGAAATTGCTCTAGAAAATTTGCTTATGGTCTTGAAGCAGATTAAAAGCCATTTAGCTTCCTATATGAAACTTAATGAAGATGAGTATGATATGAAGCTTTTTAATATTAAAGAAGAGGTTAATATCTTTCAAACTTATTGGAATAGCGTTAGGGTTTATGGAAAAAAGGTGACAGAAATGAGATCTTCAATTTAAAATTTGATATCATGATATTTACTTTTTTATCTTAAAAAAAAAAAAAAAAGATAAATTATTAATCCTTTGTCGAATTGAATATGAATTGTCTTGCGTGATTTTAATAGTTATTATCATACTAAACTATAATATTGAAATGAAGTTATATAAATACCGTTTTTTTATATATTAAAATCTGACAACAAATAATTAACAAAAGAGCAATTAAATCGTAGTCTGATGACTTGTTTTGTAAATTTAGTAATTAAACTTATCAATACATTTCTGAAATTTAGAACATGATAGGCTTTTTTTTATCATGAACATATCGCGCGAAACGCGAATCATGTGATAAATTTTCACTTTTAAGATATTTATCATTTTACTAATAACGTACATAAAAAGGATTTGGTACAATTAATTATTTTCATTAAAAACAAAAAAATTGACAAATATTATTTCTCAATGTCATTTGATCTTGTGTATGATGTCATCTCGTACAAGTCGCACGAAATCGCGCGACAATTTCGTCATATCGTGCGAAGTACACATCTAATTGTAACAGATTATTCTTTCCTGATGTCATAAGTCAAACCAAACCATTGAAATTCAAAACATTTAATCAAGATTGCGAGAGTAATCGAAATTTCTGTCAAAAATCGAAACTCATAAATTTTAACCTTCAAAGAGAAGTTTCTAATGTTTCAGATCTCCTAGCATAACCACCAAAATCATCTACATCAATTATATAGTTAATAAGCTGAATTTTTTCATTGTTAGAAAATTCCACTGGAAATAAATATTGACAATATGAAAAATTTTTCCTATAGTCATTTACCCGACATCACGTAGTGTAATAATTTACTAATCATAACACTTGCAACTAACATAATGCTAAATTGTCACCTACATAATGTTGGCCAAATGACCGCTCATTTCGTAGACATAAATTTTACCGAAAACAATTCGTCAACATGTTTTATTTCACCAACAAGTTTATTTCACCAAAGCTCATTTCGCCGACAAAATAATTTGGCTCATTGTCATTAGAGTCACTTGTCTAGTCTCTTATCTTTCTCATTAGGCAATTCTTTATCTGGACCTTTTGCAGTTCTAGTAATGTAATTTTTCTTTTAAGTTGGGCTTCAAGTTTATTTCTATAACTGTATTAATTTTTTTTTGTTGCTTTGTCATATAGCAGTACTGTTATTTGATGATTTTTTTTTTGATTTCTGCTTTTTTATATAGAGTGATTAGATGATTTAAGTTCAATCTTGTCACAATTGTTTCATGATTACTGTTTGTTCAAATAATCATTTCTTGAATTTTTGTATTTAAAAGTTCATTAACAAATCTTTCTATAATTCATATATAATCAATTCTTGTTTCTTGTTCTTTATTTGATCATATAAATTTTTTTTCTTTTAAATTAATTGTTTGATAGGTATCTTGAAACTCCTGTCTTGATAATTATTTAATTAATGAATCTTGTTTTTTAGATTTTTACTTAGACTTCTATAATTTATTTAGTTCTATATCTACTTACAGTTTAGATCATTTATTATTATTATTTGAGTTCTTGTTATGTTTTTTATATATTTTTTGGTTCATCTATAGAATAAGGTGTATTAATGTACTTGATAGTCATATTAATTATTACATTATACAAAATATAACTATTGATTGTTAAGACATGTCCTCCAATCTTGTTTCTAATTTACACCAAGAAATTCTTACACTTAACTGTTTTAAACTGCATAACTTTTC